CAATGAAAGTGAGACAAAATGGGCAACATATGAAGCAAATGTACCAAAAGAACCAAATAATCTGGGACCTGAAGGCCAAAACTGTGTGATTACATGGAAAGATGGCTATCTTTTTTTCAAGTGGGGAGATTTATCCTGTAATGAGAAGAATAATTTTATCTGCTATGATGGTGAGAAAAACTGTTTTTATATAGATTTGTGCCTTTTAAGACTTTGAAGTAATAAAAAATAAACATGAGGTTTTTCAGAAAAACAAAATCAATATATGTTGAACATTATTCTTAATGTAACTATGTTATTGCATTCACTTTGAAGAAAAAAATATTGCCATAAATGCTTTGCATATGGTGTAATAATTTTCTCTTCTACAATAGTGAGAAAATAATCTGGACCCCCTCTTTAATGTTATAATGCTTTCTGCTCTGACTTTGTTTCACAGAAAATAATTCATCACAGAAATATCACCTGATTTCTGAATCAAAGAACTGGACAGAAGCTCAGAGTTACTGCAGAGAGAAACACACAGACCTGATCAGTGGATTGAAGCAGCTAAAGGATGGAGAAGTGAACAAGGGGTTAAAGTTCACGGCTGTAAATTCAGAGTACATCTTCATTGGTCTGTTCAGTGACACCTGGAGGTGGTCAGATGGAAACAGTTCCTCCTTCAGACACTGGAATCTACAGTTTAATAATCAGAAACTCAACAGTGGTCAATGTGCCATGACTGTGTTTGATGATGGAGGCAGATGGAGGAATGAGAACTGTGATGAAAGAAAACCTTCATCTGTTATGATGGTGAGATGACATTTTGTATTTACATGTACTCTGAATCCATCCATCCATCCATCCACATGGATGGATGGATGGATGGATGGATGGATGGATGGATGGATGGATGGATGGATGGATGGATGGTCAGTCGACAATAATGACAAGGTTGAAGCTACAGATAATATGTTTTTCTTCCTTTTATCAACAGATAACGTGATCCTGATCAAACAAAATAAACCTGGGAGGACGCCTTGAACTACTGCAGAGAGAACCACCATGACCTGGTCACCATCACCAACATGGACGATCAGAGATGGATCCAGGAGAAAGTCAAGAACGCATCGACTGATTATGTCTGGATTGGACTGAGCTACGCCTGCACTCTGGATTTATGGTTCTGGGTCAGTGATGAGATGGTCAGATACAACAACTCGGCCCAGAATGAACCGATGGACGACTGTGACATGTCTGGAGCCATGGAGACAAAAGGAAAATATCAGTGGTTTAAGAAAAATGATACTGAGACGTTTAACTTCATCTGTTCTGAACATCCAGCAGGATAATAAGTGATGTACTGTACTCCACTTGTTCTCACATTCTTGTATATAAAAGAATGATAAATGTAGAAAAGGAGTTGATTTCACATTGTAGGTGTTGTTTTGATTTTGTTTTGCTTTACATCTTATGCATATGTATCATGTAATTGTGTTTCTTTTTAAAGCATGTGTAACTTGTTTCAAAATTTAATCTCTCGCTCATGTTTAATTGATCACTTTATTAAACTATTACATTACTGCATGTATCAATCCAAAAAAAGATTAAAAATAAAAAGACACTAAAGTAAAACCAAAATATCTACTGATGTATTTCTTCAATAGATTTAAGATATATTTTAAATCCAAGCAGCAGCTATAAGTTATTACTGCATAGATGAGGTTATTCCAAGGCTAAAAGCAATAATATAGTCAGGTGACCTGATTCTGAAAATATCTTCACTCTCCACCCAGCAGAGTTTCCTCCACAGTTCAGTGTCAAAGACTCAGAGCTGAAGTTTTGCTCTCTGTCACGACTCACTGAGAGAGACGCTGCTGGATGAGGGACTAAAGAAAACAACATGAAATATGGAAGGAGTTGAAACATTCAGAGAGGAAAACTATTTGGATTAATACATTCTCGTTGTTTTCATTGTAAATATTGTTTCACAGCATTGTTTGGTGAGGCTTTTTCTGCTTTATAAACTTTCTTATTCTTTTAAAGCAGTTTAAGGTAAATTAAACACTTGTACATGTGATCCTTGTAACCTTTAGTTAGGAACTCTCAATGCAGTAAAATAAGAAATGAAAAGACTGAAACTTTGCTTCACTGTAAACAATGAAGGTCTCTGGGTTTCCTCTTTCAGCTTTGCATACGTTTCCTGCTGTGTGTTTCTGTACATGAATGACGACGGGCCTTTGATGCCATCAGGCAGCAGCTCCTGATCAGCCATTGTTAGACTGATCAGGAAGAACAGCAGAAGGACCTTTGACCTGCAGACTGATCGCCGTGGTTACAGCTCAGTTCCCATGGCTTCAGGTTCCTCCATGATTCAGACGGCCTGTCCTGACTGATGTATGGTCTTCTTCCATCATAAAAACAAGTTTTAGCTCCTATAGTGAAAGGTTATTACCTTATTTGGAAATAAAAAGCCAGTATTGACCTGACTAATACCACTTGTTTATAGCTGTAAAACAACTTTTCAACCAGAACATCAATTGTTGATTTGCTTTATAAATATCAAACTGAGAATAAAAAGCATTAGCACGACTACTTTTCTTGTTTTTAAGTCCAACCTGCCACTGGAACGACATTTGTTGTCACAATCATTAAATCCCGGATGAAAAAATACTAAAATTCAATATACAGAATATATTTCAGAAATATTAAAATAAACCTTTAATGTTCTGTTTTCAAGCAATTTATTTTGCTCTTACTGAAGTCGGGTTAAATTTAAAAACAATAAAATTTGTAATTAATTGACTTTCTTATGCTAAAGTGAAACAACTGTTTAAATTTCTTTGTTACCCCTCAAATGTTTTCAGCGAAATTAAACTGGAACAAGATAACTTGGGTCGAATGATGTTGAAAAAATGGTAACATGGTGTTACAGAGGATCAGGCCTCATCTTTCTGATGTGAAATCATACAATGATGAAAACAATGCTTTTGAGAACAAAATCAATATTTTGGATTGGTTTTAATGGAATCTGAGCTGACTGTGATCTACCTATGGCTTGACAGAAGTATGGGTTACAGAGTGTAAACAGCAGCACATTATTATCTGGTTTGACTATTCAAATAGAGTTTAGGTCCTGAAACAAGAGATCGGTGTTCAGGCACTGAGCATTTCACTGAAGCTCAGCAGTACTGCAGAGAGAAACACACTGACCTGGTCAGTGGAAGGAAGCAGCTGCAGAAGGGAAATATAAACTCTTGGTAAAATTTTATGAATATAAATTCAAGGTACTTCTTTGTAGGTCTGTTCAGTGACACCTGGAGGTGGTCAGATGGAAACAGATCCTCATTCAGACACTGAATCTACAGTTAATAATCAGAAACTCAACAGTGGTCAATGTGCCATGACTGTGTTTGATGATGGAGGCAGATGGAGGAATGAGAATTGCAACAGATTCTTTTCTTCATCTGTTATGGGATTAAATATGATGTCAAACTTTCACTATTCAAATGCCGCAGCGAATTAAAAGACCTCTGAGAAGAGAAAAGGGAACCAAATGCACATCAGGACTTTCACAGAACTCTGCTTTGCATTTTGTTTTGCCTTTTCACCACCAACCTCTTGTGAAAAGCTTTCATGAGGAAGTGAAAAATAATGTAACGAGTTCTGTTTCGAGAACAAACGGGGAAGTAGTATGGACAGCAGAACAGCTGTGGGCAATCTCCGGTCCGTGAAATATTATCACATCAACTTTTCTTCAAAGTGAATGTAATAATATAGTTACATTAAGAATAATGTGCAAAATAAATAGATTTTGTTTTCTGAAAAATGAGTTGTTTTTTACAGTAAAGACAAACGAGGAAATAAAATTTAAAAAATCAGGATCTGAATGAGACATGTTTCACAACAAGCTGAAAAACTGAAGTTAAATGTTGCAACCTTAGCGTTTGAACTCTGTGTCGGTGAGTAAATGAGTGAATTTTAGTTGCAGACCAAGAGGGGGAGAGAATAATCCTCCAGCTCAGCTCAGATGTTTCTCCTGTTCCAGTTCACTTTGTGTTTTTTTTATATATTAACTTCATAAAAACAACAAATTCTGCTTTGTTTTATGAGTACTTACCATGAATAACTCACTTAATCATTCGACTGAAAACATAGAGCAAAGTTCCATTGAAACAGCCTTTTATTGTGAAGGGCAAGAGTTAAATTTTACATCATGACTTGGTTTATGAGAACCGCTTTAAAAAAATGCATTCAAAAAGACAAAGTTAGCAACATTTTGAGGTCAACTCTTGGAAAATGTAAACTGCAAAAAAATATTATTTTTCAAACACAAATTAAAGACAAGCATTTACAACTAATCTATTGTCAAGAAGTTGATAGAAAAAAAAGCAAGATTTATTCTCTTGTAGTCTAACAAGCCCGTTCTCAAGTTAAAAAATAATATCGAGCAAAAAAAAAAAATATATTTATATATAAATATACATTTAAAGTTTCAACAGTCAAATGGCAATATTAAGAATGACACAAATAAAAGCATTTATTTTATAAAATATATAAAATAGATTTAAAAAAAACATTACTGTGACAACATGTTCCATAAATAAGAGAGTAAAAAAAATTCTGGTGTTTAGGTAGAAAACAAAATATAACTGGTTTAGCAAAAAAAAAAAAAAAAAAAGATAGCTTTGGTTTTATATAATTAGCTCACTGACAAGACATGTGAAATAAGATCTTCCAGGAAATTCTTACATTAAATTTTATTTAAAAAATATATATGCTGTTAAATAACATGCAGTAGTCAACCCAACTAGCTCACTCTCTTCTTTGGGGCTTTCCTGACTTCAGAATAAAGCGCTGCGTCAGCCGCTGCAGCACTCAATGCTTCTGTGAATGAAATGGACAAATAATGTCCAAAAATAGATAAACAACTGGTGAAAATGAGGAAATATTTGTCAAGGCAAAGTGTTCATGTCAGTGCAAACTCTGCTGCTGACTGACTGTACCTGCAGCCGCTGTCCTCACATCGGAGTAAACAGCGCCCTCTTCTGGCTCACGATTCCTCCCTGCTGGAATCAGAACTGGATTCATGAATACATTTTTGATATAAAAAAGAAAGAAAGAAAGAAAATCATTTGGTAAAATCAAAACCTTTTGTATCCAGCGTACCGCGTTGGACTCGGCCTCGTTTGGAGGACTTGGTCGTCCGTTTGGTGTTTTTGAACTTAATGTGAGCGTATGTGACGTCGCCGGCTTCATCTTCACCTGGCACAGAAAACAGTTTCATATCCATCAAACTCCTGTTGCAGTTTAACTACTGTCAACAATTGTTTTTTTTGGTGTTTTTTTTATTAACATCCAAAATCTTCTGAATATGCCGCAAACGAGTGTGGATGTAATGCATCGGTTAAAAACACCGACCATGAGAAGGCAAGCTGTAATCATTGGTTGAGGTCTGATTGAGAGGTTGATCTATAGAAGATCCCCGATCAGCGATCTCTGACTGGATCACCCTGGAACACACAGGAAGTCCATTTGAAGCAGCAAGTCAAAACACTCCTGATTCAAGATTAAGGAGAATGGAAATGAGTAAAAATAAGATGTACTGACCTGTGGCAAGAACCTGAAAAGAATTGAGATAACACAATGATGTCAACATGTATTTACTTATTTATTTTTAATTTTGCATTTGTGACATTAGACAAAGCATTTGTATGACCAGATGAAACGGGCGAACTGTGTAAAATAGTTTCAGGAGATGAAAGTTTCACCTTTGGAATGTCTAAAGCAACACAGCAGGAGCAGCATAATAACAAATACGGATCCACAAACTACACCGAGGACCAACAGGACTGGAAATGAAGGGCTCCCAGGTTTGGAAACACCTACGTAAACATTTGGGAAGACATCGTTCATTTCTCACGGCATCGTAATGATTAAAAACGCAACGATGTAATGAATCTCTGCTCACCTTTTAACAGCCATCCAGCTCTGAGGTGAAACGTCTCCTGAATGTTCACTTGTAGAAACCTTCATCTGACTGAGACACTGCAGAGATATTCAGCTTTCCTCTGCTGTCATTGATATCAGTTTGTCATTGTGATAGAAAATCACATTAGAAAGTTTGTTTTCTCCTCTCAGTCTGCAGCTCAGAGTGACAGAAGCTCCTTCAGTCACAGGATGGACGGGGCTCACCAGGAGAAGATCTTCATCTGTGAACCAGTCAGACATCAGTATCACTGTGTTAGTGAGGAAAATATATTTTATGTGGTTATATTGAGCTACTCTGCTTATTTGCGAAGCTAACTTTGGTCATTTCTCAGCTGGCATTATGTTCAACAAATGCTGTGCACAAGTGAAACTTGTTCAGTTCATCTTGAATGTGCAGACGTATACAGCATATTCTGTTTTTTTTGCAGAAATAGTTTGGGTGTGCTCAAACAGCTGTCTTTTTTTTTTTCTCTTATTTTCTCTGTACATAGAACTGTGTGTAACGCGTTAGCGCAGGCGACTAACCTGAACATTTAAAGGCATTAAAATTACAAAATGCAGATCAATGAACCATCTATTTTGACATGAGAGCCTCTCTCCCATGCTGGATTATCCAGTTCACAGCAGCGCGTTACAGACGGAGCTATGAACAGCAAAATACTTTTTTTTTTTGCAGAAAGCAACAAGAGTTGAACAGTTTCAACTTTCTTGTGTTGGGTCTTTAGCCAGCGTTTTGCATATCTAGTTTATATAATTACTGTGCTATTTTAAAGAAACTATAGTAACACTAATCAAATACAATAGATAGTAATAAAAATGACAGTAAACCTCAATAAAATCACAATAAAACTGTAATAGAATTACAATAAGAATACTGTAAAAAATTACAGTAAGTAAAGTGACTGTAATTTCTTTACAGCAACTGGCTGGAAACCCTGCTGCCAGGAAGTTACTGTAAATATTACAGTGTATATAATTAAACAAAAGCTAAGAAGAGGAAGATGGTACATTGATTTGTTTCTATTCCATTAACTATGAAAAAAATGATCATAGTAATGGAAAAATCTTGTGGCCTGTATATTGCAAACTCTCTCAATGAACTGCATAAAAAATTTGCTTCAGAAATATTTCAGTAAATCTTCTCTGACAAATACACCCATTGGATAGTAACCTACTGTGGAAGGTGATGTTGACGGCGTTGCTGAACTGTCCTGATCCAGACTCACACCAGTACCGATTTAGGCTTTGACTGATTTTAACGCTGCATGAGATCCAGACATTTTCCCCCAGGAAGCGCAGTTTGGTATTTGGGTCAGGTCACCTGCTTCTGAAAACCTCCTCACTCTCCATTCAGCAGAGTTTCCTCCACAGTTCAGAGTAAAAGACTCAGAGCTGAAGTGTTGATCTCTGTCAGGACTCACTGAGAGAGACGCTGCTGGATGAGGGACTAAATAAAACAAGACAAAAAAAAAATAAAGACAACATATTTGAAAAAATCAGTGTTGATGAATTAGCTTTCATTGTTTTCATTTAGACTCATTTCTTCAACTGTATTATTAGCAACATGTCCTTCAGACATTTTTTGCTTCATTAAGTTTGTTCTTCTTTTGCATAAGTTTAAAGGAAACTAAACATTTGTCACATTGCACATGGGATAATTTTAGGATATATTACCAGTGAAGGAAAATTAGGAAAGAGAAGAACTGACCTGCAGACCAGACAAACTTTGGTTCACTGTAATCAGTGAAATATTCTGGGTTTCCTCTTCCAGCTCTACATGAATATCCTGATGTCTGATTCTGTTCATGTATGATGAATGAATCTTGTACAGTCCCACTGATGCTGTCAGGCAGCAGATCATATCTGTAGCCGTCCCCAGTCTCATCAGGAACAGCTTTACACCAGAAGAACCTCCATCCTGCAGACTGGTCATCATGGTTACATCTCAGAGTCACTGAGGCTCCAGGACTCACCAGGATGGAGACACAGTGAGGACTGACTTTGGTCCTGTAGGACAGAGAAATGTTTTCAAAATCAAGACATGTTCCACCTTCATAAACTATGATCACAATAACATAGAAATAAAAGTCTTAAATATTATCAGTAATGACCTTTCTCACAATATTTGCTTACAGCTAACAGCTTTTCTCTATCAAGACAAAAACTGCTTAGATACTTTACAAATATCTTGTCAGTAAAACGAAAAACTTAAAACATCTTTTTCAGTGTTTATATGTTCATATGTGCAACAGGTTACTGTGAACTACAGTTGTGATCAGAATCATTCAAATTAAAATACATTCATATATAATAACCTACTGTATATAGTGATGTTGACGGCATTGCTGAACTCTGATCCAGACTCACACCAGTACACTGCTTCATGGTCCTGCTGACTGTTAATGATACATGAGATTACTCATTGTCCACCAGGTGGCGCAGTCATACAGATATGACTGCCTGCTTATTTGTTTATAATGTCTTATTCTCCCATCAGTAGATTTTCCATCACATTGTATGAGACGTTGTGATCAGTGAAATGTTGCTCTCTGTCAGGACTCACTGTCAGAGTGAGTCCAGCTGGATGAGCATCTGAAAAACAAAGATTTGCAAAAATCAATAAATCATTCACTGAATCTTCTGATTAGTACATGTGCCTATTTATTTATTGCTGTTATTGAAGTATTATTATGCTGTCATTACTTACACTAATCCAGAGGAAAGTGACAGTTTACTAACTTTACATGCTGTTGTATTTAAATCTAAGTAAATGGTAGTTAGTCATGCAAACTGATAAAAAGTCAAGGCAGTAATACATCAGACTTTATATAACTTTTATTTTCCTTATGCAATGTAGTAACCAAAGTTTTATCCAGTTTTACCATTTGTGTGATTGTTCCTGCTTATGTGAATTAGGAAAGTAAAATATACTTTGGTTCAGATTATTTTATGTCAGATCTGTAACTTTCAATAACCTCAAATATTCCCCTTTTTTCCTACCTACAGTTCAGAGTTATTTCTGGTGTTACTGTACATAAAATTGGCCTTTTGTGACTAAATGAGTTCACTACAGTTTCTATCTCCTATTTTTTCACATTGCTGTATATATATGTATATTATGGCAGATTAAAAGTCAATATGAGAATTTATCATGGACATAGAAACAAATGATGGAATATGAAGTACTGACCTGCAGACCAGACAAACTTTGGTTCACTGTAATCAGTGAAATGCTCTGAGTTTCCTCTTCCAGCTCTACAAGCAAATCCTGCTGTGTGTTTCTGTCCAGTAATGATGAAGGAGTTCTCTACAGTCCATGGATGGCACCATTGAGCAGCTCATATGTGTAGTTCTTGTTTCTCAGATCAGGAGCAGCTTTATACCAGAAGAACTTCAGTTCTGAAGATGAAGATTTAACCTCACAACTCAGAGTCACTGAGGCTCCTGGAGTCAGCCATGATGGAGACACAGTGAGGAAAGGCTTTGGTCCTGTTACAGACATAATAACGTTTATGATTTCTTTTTCAGTTTATGTTCTCGTTGACATTTCAAAACTAGTGCATATTGTTTTAGTCCAGTATTTAAAACAAACTATTAAAGGTTCAACAGTGATTGTAATTGCCACAGGAGGGGAGCTGTCTTGTAATGTAGAAGTCCCTAAAAACTACCAAATAAACAATAATTTTTGATAGAAGAATGAATTCATGATGAGTAAAAAAAGGAAACCTTACCTTGAGTTTTTCCACACCCAAGAAAATAACTGAGACCTAAAAACACAAAGCTTTTCAGACATCATATAAAAATGAAACATGAAAGAGGAAATGTGAAAACTCTAAAATAAATGTTTTTCTTTTTTACATTTCTATTAATAACAATAATACAGGTGTAAGGAACTAAAGCTGTGACAATATTTCATTAAAAATGAAGCTTTTCTCACAGAGAGATGTTCACACACAGTGAACTCGACTTTCAGTCATTTACTTCTGCATATTATATGAGTCAAGTTAAATGTGGATGCATTGAGCTTTTCATGCTCCATTATATCTTAATATCTTAAGCTACAAAGATACCAGATACTGAAGTGCCCGTCTTGTGAGGTACACATGGAAGATGTTTTTATTCAACAGAAACGAATCCAAACGCACCAAACAGAGCAACGCAACCATAACCATGAGCTCAGTGTGGTGCAGTATGTCAAGATCACAGAAGTAGCACAAGTTCTCTGTTCACAAGCCAAAATAAATGTCATGGATACAAAGACCGTCTACCAGGAGTGCTGTGGTGTGAGGGCTTTGCAAAACCCACGTATGAAGGCCTGAGTCCTCGACGCGGGTTCGACTCCCGCCCCGGTGACATACGCTGCACGACTTCCCCTCTTTCCTGTCTGTCTACTTGAAAAAAATAAAATGGGTCATTAGGGCCAACAAAATCTTCAGAGAGAGAGAGAGAGAGAAAAAAAAACTCTACCACTGTGTGTCTTTTACATTCTGAGAATGTATGTGGTCAAAACTTC